GTTAGACTGTGGACTCATATTCCCTGGCTGTGAGTATCCACTGATAATAGAATGATAATCCCATGAACTACTAACCCCATTATCCCAAAGCCATGAATTATGGTAGAAAGATGAACTCGTCCACTGGAAGAATTAATTTGTTGGTTTTTAAATAAAGACATCAATATTCCATATTTCCAATCTGTTTTGCCCCTCTCTTAATTTTTCTGGTACAGTCTAAATAGGTTTTATAATTCTCTTGTGGTCCCCTTTATTAGAAAAGCATACTGCTCTGTACTGTTGAGCTAAATGACAATATTATAGGTTATAAAAAAGATTTAGTACTTTGAACCTTTGCACTATTCAAGCTCTCAAAGTCATTCTGGGTGAGGATCAATTTCAATTATACTTTTACTGCTTACATAATGGAAGCAGGTGGGAGCCAGCACAGGAAGGGCAGCAGAGAGAGCTGAGGGCACTAGGGCACTTGCCCTCTCCTTCCATTCTGCTCCTGACCTGGAGTTTTTCCCCCCACCCCCATCTGTTTCTCCATCTATGGCAGAGGGCTGGTACTCTTTGGGACCAGAGTCATCATTGACAGTTGAGTGCTCCAAACCCAGGCAGCCCTTTTAATAAAGTGTCCAGTGTGGGAATCCTGGGCAAATGAACAGTAAAGAAGAGCCAGACTTTTAATTCTTTAATTAGCAGCAGGATGTTGAGTATGGCAAAGTTTAGTTAAATAACCAAATGCAGAATCTTATTCTCCAAGAGAATAAAATGAGTGGTTGACTCTGCCTTTGACCTGGGGCATCTCATCCCATCTCATCTTCTGTTGCGAGGCAGATCACCCAGGCCTGCCAATGGCTCGCTTAGCCTTCCACCTTCCTGGGTCTACCTGACTTAAGACCAAGGGCCTAACATGTGCAAATGCTCCCCCAGACTCAGTCTCTCTCCTTGCTCACTTTGCAAGGGATAGAGGCTTGTTCCTCTCCCAAAATAAGTTTCCATTGTTTTTAAATCATCACATACTCGGAATAAAATTCAAGCCACGTTCCCTGGCCCAGGGGTCTCCACTGCCCTTCCCAAACCTGGCTCAGGCCACTGAAACCAGCGCCCTGCCCTTTAGCCACAGGTTCTCTCTGTTAAACGGCTTCTCTCAGGACACCTGGCTCTTTTCCCCATGCGGCCTTTGCACCACTCCTTGTTTTACCCTAAAACCCTTTTCCCTCTTACTCTGCCAGCCTCCGCTCTTCTTTCTCAGATCAATGAATCCTGACCCCCTCGATTAGCCAGAGCGCCACCCTCACACACGCTCATTCTCCATCTGCTAACTGGTCTCCTTCGTACCACCTAACTCCGTTCTATTTCAGGTGTCTGTTTGCAAACCGAGGCCCTGTGCAGGACCCGCACCTTTAGGATGATATCATGAGACTTTAAATTACAAATCTTTATTTTCTTGTCTTTTCTGCCAACAGAGCTCTGATAAGTGGGGGCAACAGGGGGTCTGAGGTAATCCTTTAAAAACTAGCTAGCCTATGCTCTCAGGGACCAGTGCAGTGGCCACCAGAGGAGCTGAGGTCCACGCATCTTCCTAGAATAAGGGAAGAGCTGAGCCAGGACGGGCCTGAGGAGCCTGCTGTCCTCAGCCCTGGCAGGCAGGGGCAGGGTTCTCCTGGAAAACATTTCCAGTTCTGCTCTAGTTCCAGTAGAGATTCAAAGGTGCAAGTTCCATGCCATAGACAGAGCTGTGGTCATTTTATTTCAAATAAAAAAAAAAAATGCATCAAATACTCATAAGCTATCCTATGATTTGAGCAATATAATTTCTTGGAAGGAACTCAGGGGTCACCAGAAGTATAATTTGCTATGGTGAGTTACGAGGGAAGGGTAGCTAAATGTCAGGGTCAGCTTCCAGGAAAAAAGTGTCCTCATTTGGTGTATTTGGTCTGATGCTACTTTTTAAGACAGTAATTAGATAATAGGAAACTGTCACCAGCAGATGGTACTCCCCACCCAAACAGCCAAGACACCTCTACCCCTTGTCTGCTTAGCAACTCCAGAAAATGTATTTCACAGTTATTTGAAACAGAAGTACAGTTGACCCTTGAAGAACATAGGTTTGAACTGTACGGGTCCACTTATTTGCAGATTTTTTTTTGCAATAAAAACAGTTGTTTCTTTGTATCCATGGGTTTTGTATCCTTGGATTCAACCAAGCCCATTTCAAAAACAGTATTTCGCATTCCCAATTGCAGATTTCGAACTGCAGATCAAAAATACTGTTATCGATCTGCAGTTGGTTGAATCATGGATGCGAAGGACAACTGTAGTTAAGATTTGGGGGAGTCAAAAGTCATACATGGATTTTTGACCACGAGGGGGTCTGCCATACAGTTGTTCAAGAGTCAACTTCTTAATGCCAGAGATTTTGACTCTTTCTCATTGTGGTATCCTAGCACCTCAAATGGTGCCCAGCTTCCAGAGGTACTCAATATGCATTTGCCGAACGAATAAACAATGCACAAACACATTAATATAGAAGAATGCTATTTTGATGGAAGAAGTAGGTATCACGGGTTTTCTTCCAGCTTACCCAATATGACATTAGTAATTAAGACTCAGATTTTAAATAATGATGACTGGACTATGGCTTGGTTTTACTCACTGGAAATTATCAAATCTGCTAGGAAATCATTTCTCTTAATGCATGTATGTTTTCTACAGGTATGGGAGTCCTATTGAATCTCTATGACCATTTGTAAAGTTGTGGCTCAGTGAAGCTGAGACCTGGGGCCTGCCTTTCCTGTAGCCTCAGCCCTCTGCTGGGTGCCTCCGCTGGGCTGTGCATCTGTGCACATGCCATGCAAGGGGAGGACCGGCAAGTCTGGGCTCAGTTATGTGCGTGAAACGTGTGTTCGAATTACACTGCATTCTCCACAGCCCGAGGAGACTCCATTTACCCAACCATGGTCTGCAATCTTGATTCATGTTCTTATTTAAAAATGCTATTGATAACCTTTTGCTATTTCAGCCTTAGTCTTTTAAATGCACAAAATAGAAAATCTGGTGCCTGGAGCTCTGGAGCCTTAAATGATGAGGATAAGCAATAACCTCTCTTGTTTCATTCTTTCTCTTAATCAACTGAATTAATTCATATACTCATCTTTTTGGATATGATGACTGTGAAAGTTTCAAGTATAACTATCTACAACTTTTCTCAAAGGCATAATGTTCTAGATTTTTTCAAAGAGAAAAATAAAACCTTTGGCTTCTACTACTACATCCATAGTCTGTGTCCATTCTAATTTTTTCTCCTGTCTTTTTCCCTATCTTTTGGCAATATTAGTGTCATCATCTCTCTTTGGTAAATGTAAAGTCACCATTTAATTTCCAACAGAAAAAAAAGTTATACCTAAAATAATGCTCATACTTGAACACACTTATTAAAATGAACATGTCAAAAAGTCAAAATTATATGCAATAAAACAAAGTAACCCAGAATAGCTACTTTCTATTCGTTTTCCTAGCTTCCTAATTTAATACGTTTGGTAACTTCAATTTATCACACACTCTCAGTTTGGGCTTAGCATGGGCAATATAAATGACAAAGCCTGAAAATTCAGGTTAAAATTCTCATTTGGGAACTTACATTATCTGGGTGAATCATCCACACTGGCCAAGTATATTGGCAATATATGGGGCATGAAGAATTGAGGACTTTTTGGACTTTACAAATGGCTTCCATGGAGCTGTGACAGTAATGTCAACTGGCATATAAGGGACCTCCCTTAGGGTGTGACCAGAAAGCTCCAAACCACAGAACTGTCAGCCACAACTGCCTCTGATAAGCCCCCAAGTACAGGGGCCGATAAGCATGAGGACTTACCTTATAAAGTCAGTATAAGCTGAACACCCTAGACAGCGCTCAAGCCTGACTTGAGAGCATCATGGAGGGGTGTTGCTAAGAGCCAAAAATCCTGACCTTGTGCTGGTTGTAGCCGCTGGCTTGGGACCAATGCGCAGCTATCAGCACCACCAGTCAACAGAGCTCACTTTGGAGACGCTGAGGTCTTTCATCCCTTTGCTCTGTCTCATAAGACTCTCTGCTTCCCCTCTCTGTGTTGTGTGTTAACTTGCATGGGTACTTGATGGGTTTATCTGAGAAGGTTCCCCTCAGTAAACTTGGCATTGTGGAAAGACGCAAATGCATGTGTTCAAGGGTGTTACTTTGGTAGCTGCTTTCTTTCCTTGCTCGAGACAGGTAAATAGGTTCTGCTCAACCTTTCTGGAGACAGAAAGTCTTTAATTTGGGATCTTCACAGGTGTCCTACACATTTGTCTGTTTCTTTCTCTCTTAAACTGTTTCTAACTCGTGCGAATTACACTGTATGTATCCAGGGCCGAGAGGACAAGATGGAAGAGGAGAAGGATAGAAATCAGTCCTGGAGGAGCCATTCTGCTCCTCGTGTGTAGGTGGGATTGGAGGAGTGAAGGGCATGAGAAATTACATTCTTTGGAAGGATGGGTTTTTTTTCCTAATCATTTCACTTTTGAGAAAGAATCAACTGATGCTGAAAGGCAACTTTCAAATTGTGTTTCAAATATCTTCCTGATTATCTAGTTATATGAGATACACACACACACACACACACACACACACACATACAGTTATCTGGAGTTAAATGAAGTGTACGTGATAATGTGGGGTGTATCATACAGGGTGTATATGGTTGTTTGAAGTTACATGGGAGATATATGGTGACTTGAAGCCTGCAGTGGATGTGGGAGGTGGGCAGAAAGGAAGGCAGAAATGTGCCAGCATGTTTCAAAGCTGAATGGATATAACAGCCTTTGGCCATCTCTGTGGGGGGTCCTTGGGGAACACATTTTGATTAATGGTATTTTAATGCTAATTTAGCTTTTTAGCACTCCAGCGCCCAAAGGCTCTGGTCGTTCTGATAGAAGAAAGACTTCCTCTCCACAAAAACAAATCAATGATTTTACAGATTCCAACTGGTGTCTTTCAGGGCAGGAAGTTAAAAGCCAGGTGTGTGCATCTGGGCAGGCTGCAGAGGGGGCTAACCTGCAGAGCAAGGTGCCAGCATCGCCAGTGCTGGGAGAGGCCTCTAGATGGTGCAGGTGAGTCTGCAGCGAGGGAAAGCCCCTCTGTAAGGCTGTTTCCAAACTCGCAAACAGGACGGGAGCAGTCAAGGAAGAGTTCCCGGGAAGCCCTTTGGAACAGAAGGAAAGTGGGACTGACAGCAGAGAGGTGCCTCGCTCCAGGCAGCTCTGCCGGCCTCCAGCATCTGCTTCTGAGAACTCTGCCGAGTGGCCACCTGTGAAACCTGGTGGCCCAAAGCAGGACCGTGCTTGGCTCTCTTCACAGACCATCTTCCATCTTCTGCTTGGATTAGAAACTGACCCTCTAACAGCGTCCAGGTAAGCTTTGGTCCATCTCTTTGGTTTTCTAAACTATTAGGCTGTGGATGAGACTGAGGTGTCAGGGGCTGCAAAACAGCCTGGGTACATTTTTGAAATGCGTGTCATATTTGGGTTGCGTTTGAACAAGCTTTCCCGATTACTGTACGTCTGTGCTACCAGTTCTAAGACCTGAGATTCTTCCTTTGTTTTCAGGAAAACATAAGAAAACCCATTTCACTATTTGGCTAGTGAGCCAAACTCTGTATGTGCTTAGCAAGATTTAAGATTTGGCTATAGGACAATGGGTGTCTCCAAGAGAGCACGAAAGTGTGTTTCTCCGGTTTTCCCCCAAGCCTGGTCACAGGAAGGCAAGCAGCAGCTGGGACTTTGGCTGGGCTCTGTACCTGCATCCCATCCTGAGTTCCCACAGTGCCCTAAGAAACCTTTCAGGTGCAGTTGTGAATCAAGTCTGAGGCCCAACGTCATGACCCCCCAGTTGGGGGTGTGTGAGGGGGTGTGTATGTATTTGACGATCAAGGCTTTCGCTTCCAGCCAAGAGGTTCCTCTAAATGCTCCGACAGATCTCGGAATAGTTTGGACTCCTACACAAGGCCTGGCTCTGATTTCCCAACATCCTACAGCAGTCGCTCTTGCACGGCGGGGCTAGAGGTATCAGGGGAAGGAGAAAGGGGGCAGCGGGACAGAGAGGACAGCAGGCGAAGGTTCGAGAGAGACAATTAAAGCAATAAGGGGTGGAGAATGAGATGACAAATCAGCAGGGGAGAAACCCTGTCAGGCGGAGGAACTGGACAGTTAGTGGGACACGGGGATGTGAGATGATGGGACTGAAGAACAGAGAGAAGATGGGGAGCAGACGAAGACCAGCCCCCTTCCTCTGCTCTCCAGCTAGCCACTGTGCTGTGGCTCTGAAGTTGTACCTTTGAGATACCTCTAGCCAAGAATGAAACTGCAACAAATTCAAAATAATAAAGAGGCGAAAAGCCATAATAGATTAAAGGAGAAAAGGAATCAATTCAGGTAATTAAGATAGAGAATATTTCTCGCCTGACTTTGAGCTCTGAGATTTCTAAGCCATATCCACTTACGATCTTTGAAGTTACATTTTGACAGAGCCCACCATAAAGAGAGTTACTTATCAAAGCTGAGAAATTAGCATTTGTCCTGAGGATGGTCGATGTGTGCCCTTTGTCACTGGAGAAGATTGGGGGCCCCAGTGACAGTCAGCTGAGGTCTCTGCTCTCTCCCCACCCTTGCGTGAGCCAGGCTGTACTTTATTAATGGCACCTTTGGAGGGTAATCTTGGAAGCACATGTTTTGAAGAGAAAAGAGCAAATAAGATTTCTCTGAATTGTTTGATTTTTACTCTCTGGGCACTACCAAGTTTCTAAAAGTAAACAGGGTCTTCACTTTGTTGATGACATGTGTTTACAAAGCTCAGAAGTATCAGGAGCCCACCCTTGTCTCTTCAGTGCCGTCACGCCCCCGAACCTAGCACAGTGCCTGCCACAGGCAGCAGCCCAGGGTTTGCTTAGGGAAGTGAAGACAGACCTGGTATTACTCCTCGACTTCCCCATTTCAAGGGTACAAAACCAGGTTGACTCTTTTAATCGGGGTGCATCTTCTCATCAAAGTTCCGTAGGTCTCAAAGGACCACACGTAGACAGAAACCAGGTCACCTGAGTCTCCTTCAGGTGAGTTCAGGTGAGTGACTTTTGTGGTTTCCAAAAAAATTGAATTCATTCTCAAGGGAATGCCCAGGAACCCAGCTTCAAAGACTCAAGAAAATCTGATATTCAAACACAGTAGCTGTAAACAGGATGGTGTTCTGGAAGCCAGCCCTATGATCAAACGGCTCAGCCCCTCAGGTGGGTTCCCTCCCGTCCTACTCAGTGTCCTGCCTGCCCACCTCTTAGCAGCTTTCCTTCTGGCCCTGGTTTTCTCAATTATCCCGGAGATACCTGCCTGCTCTTTCCTTTGATGCTGTTTTAGGCTCTGCCTAGGTAATTCTACCCTAGGTAATAGCATAATTAATTAACTTACATTAAGCTCACTTAGTGCATTAGATCAATTAGGAAACAAAGACCCATCGCAACCTACGTTGCTGTCCTTGAGTTCACGTATTGTGGATAGGAGTTTATATTCAATCTCCAATTATTATTTTCTTAAAAAATAAAGCAAGCCATACTATTTGCTGGCCTCTTGTCCTCATCAGAGGCCAGGGCTAAAGAGGAAACGTTCTGTTTCGTTCTTTGTGAGCCATCCCAATAAAGGATTGGCAATCAAAATATTGGAGTAGAAAATATGAAATTGTTGTTTGTATATAGCCTAAATATAGTCAAATAGAGATGATATCAAGTGGTTCAATCTAATATAGTCTAGTACCTAAGAGAAAATTTCAAATGGCTTTTAGAAATCAGGAATCCCAAAATAATTCCCCTGTTAGTACAAACAAATGAGCATGAACTTAATTTTTCATGATTGTCTGTCATAAGGTCATCACAAAGCATTGTCCACGGGCTGTTAGAATCATAGAATCAAATCCAAGGAAAAAGCTTCGCCTTGGGTTTGGCAGGAGGGTGGTCCTACATTTCATCAAATAGTGTATAAAGGACTACTATAATCCAAGGTGTCCTCTGTCCCAGCATCCTCTCTAACACATAGTGGGCACTCAGTGAAAACATGTCCAATGAATGAATGGGACCCTTTGTGTCAAAAAAAGGTCACCAGTTGTTCTAATCACACAGTGGGGACAAGGGGCTGCCAGAACACCTAAGTACCCTAAGTCAACGAGCAAACAAATTCCAGTTAGCAAATCTACTCTCTCTGGGTGCGATGACACGTGTTATTTCTTAAAGGCTGGGTACCCGAAGATGTCAAACACACTGTTTGGATACATGGTAGAACAGATACAAGCTGGTGAAGCTGGAGGCTCTCATCCTCTGCCCAGGTCCTCCTAAAGTTCCCAGAGGCCTGTGCACATAGCTACATGCTTAACTAACCAGGAGGCCTTTGTTTTCCATTCCCGACAAATCAGAGCACTGTGGAAAATGGATGGGTGGTAATGAACCTTGTATAGGGAGATGGATTTGCATTGATAGCCACAGCTGTGCCACCCAGCGAGCTCATGTCATCTCAAGTCACTTCACCAGCCAGGAAATCAGACTGTGCTCTATACATGGCAGGAAGGTGCCTTGGCTTGTGAATCCTGATGGGATCAGTAAGCAAACCAGTCACAGCCACAGTCGTGTTGTCGTTACTAATAACAGTGAGGCCCGGGGTGCATGGAAGCTAAGCTGAGCTGTGGTATCTCCAGATCCCTCAAGATTAAGACTATTTAATGATACTATTAAATGTGTGGATATAAGCAACCAAAAGGTGAGCCCAAATACTGAAATAAGACATTAGTCTCTTGAAAATAATAGGGAGATAATTCTGCCAACAGCATTCTAATCCTGATGTGAAGCACTTTCTTAGGATATAAAGAAAGACACACAAATCTAGAGTGCAAATGAAAAATGTGAGGTCAGTTTTGACAACTATCAGACCATTAACAAATCTTTTCTCTTAAAATGTTGCCATATTTTCAATTCCATATTCCTTAAACTTCATGCACAGGAGAGACAAGGAGGTAGAATTTCACACTGGTTTTAATATACATTCATTCATTCAACAAATCTTTTCTGAGCCTCTGCTGCATGGCAGGCACTGTCCTGGGTATAGTGACACAGCAGCACCGTGGGTAGTGAGAGCAAACACCCCGCATTGTGAAACCTAGTACAAAGAGAAGCTGTAATACACAGATGTGAATGTTAATTTCAGAAAAGGGAAGCCGTAATACACAGATGTGAATGTACAAGGAGAAGCCGTAATACACAAATGTGAATGTTAATTTCAGAAAAAATCAGTGCCATGAAGAAACAAATAAGCAGAGCAAGCAGAGAGAAAGTGCTTGGGATAGGTTTAAGGGGAACCTCTTGAGAAGATGACATTTGAGCAAAACCTAAATGAAGCGAGAGAATGAGCCAAGCAGAGGCTCCAGAGTGGCAATGAATCTGAGGTGTCCCAACACCAGCAGGGAGGCAGTGTGGCTATAGCAGAGGGAAAGGCGGGAAGAACAGGAGGAGACAAGAATGGAGAACCAGGAGCTAGGCAAGCTGGGGACAGAGACCACGGTTAAGTCTAGGCTTCCATTTAGGGTGTTGGGAGGACAAATAAAACTATACATTGACTCAAGGCAGAAGTTCAGCTGCAATTGTTCATGCCTCATGTCATTCTGGAACCATCGGTGCCCACAGCACACCGGCTGTTATATCTTGAAATCTACCCTGCCGGCACCTCCACGAGTCAGATCTCCAGGTAGCCTTTTCCTCAGAGGGCTAGTCTGGCAGCAGGAGAAGTTGGCAGGACAATGGAATGATCCCTTTAAATCCAACATCTGTTCTCTTTGCAGTTAACAAATGGCAAAGGGGCCCTTTCTGAGAAAAATTTTAAAGACTCCAACTTGAAACACATGCTTACATTTTTAAAAGTCTCAAACTACAAAGAAAATGCTTAACATTCTTAGAGAGTCAGACATTGTCTTCTATCCCTTTGCAGTCCTACCCAGTATTCCCACAGGCAACCCAGAGCCCACAGCCCTGGCCAGCTCCATTCACTCCCCATTTCTCACTTGGAGAGATGGAGAAGTACTTGCTGATGTTGGGAGCGAGGTGGGGTTGAGCAGACAGAGAAGCACGGACAGGTTCAGTTAGGAAGCCTCCTCTTCCGAGAGTGCCACAGGGGAACAAATTTGGAGATCAGTTTCACACCCTGTTTGGCGTTCCAGAGCTGTTCCTGACTGTGGCACATGGCCCTTGTGGAACTAGGGAGAACCCGGCTGCTCTGCCCCATCCAGCATGTGACTGCCAGCACCTGCCAAGTTCAATTTCCTTTCAAGTTACAGGACCATGGAGATCAGTCGGGCAGGAAGTCAACCGAGGGGAAGAGACCATGTGTCT